GACCCCGCGCGCACCGCGCGGCTGGGGGCGCGGGACGCGGCGCGAGCCTCCGAGGTGTTCTCCCCCGGGGATCGATCGTGAAGGAAGATGTACCCGAAGGGAAGGAGGGGGATTCGATGGTGTGGTTTCCTCCCCCAATACTCTCTCGGGGAACGAGGTGTACTTCCGACTTTGATGAATGACTTCCCTCCTCCCCATCCCGCCTTTCCCGTAGACACGTAATGTCAGGATGTGATGGGTCCTTGCATGTGCGTTATACCAGGAGTTGCCTTCACATCTGCAGGTGAACAGCGGCTAGTCCCGTGTAGCTCTCTTCAGGCGGGGCTGAAAAGACTTCCCTGCAGCCAATAGGCCCTTGAGCACTGCAGCCCCATCAGTGTCAGCAGACACGCCGTCCAGGGATTTAATCCACCTGGTAGGCCGTGGTCTATTCTTTCTGTTCAAATGCTTCTTCTTGCTAGCAAAATTAGTCCTGGTCTTTAGGTACATCTATCACATATTACAATGAGTGGGTGCAGGTGTTTCTTTTTCAACTAATCGAGCAGGATGTGCCCCCTACTGCCATCATTTGCTCAGTATTTCCAGATGGACCTATTATTGATAGCAAAATTGGTGTCTTCCTACCAAGATGTCCATACCTTGGATAGCTTTTGAGATAATGCTATGCAGTGTGGAGGCTGAAACATTTAGTTTATAAGTCCAGGCCTTTGATTAACTGTGAAACTCACGGCAAATGACTACCCTCAAATGGTGGATGTAATCTCACAGCAAAGGCTGTGAGATTAAGTAGGATAACTGTATAAAATGCTAAGCATGGTGTCTAGCACATAAGAGGTTTCCTTATAGCCCATTAGTTCACTGATTGGAATCACCACGTTCAAGTTCTATCTTTTAATATTTTGCTTTTTGGAGTGCTTGCCAGTTGCTCAACTTCTCTGTTGGAAGGTAATGACATTTTGTTACATTTTAGATGCTTAAGGGGAATTTGAAATGCAAAATTGGTCAGTAATCCCAGCATTTTGAGAGGCTGAGGCGGGAGGATTGCTTGAGCCCAGGAGTTGGAGACCAGCCTGGGCAACATAGTGAGACCTTGAAACCTTGTCTCTACAAAAACAAACAAACAAAACCTATAAAAATTAGCTGGGTGTGGTGATGTGCACTTGCAGTCCCAGCTACTCTGGAGGCTGAAGCTGAAGTGAGCCCTGTCCATGCCACTGCACTACAGCAGGGGCGACAGAGTGAGACTTACTTTAAAAAAAAAAAAAAAAAAGGCTGGGCCGGGTGGCTTAATTTGTAATCCCGGCACTTTGGGAGGCCGAGGCGAGTGAATTGCCAAAGCAGGCGAGTGGATTGCCTGAGACCAGCCCAGGCAACTTGGCAAGACCTCGTCTCTACAATAAACCAAAAATTTAGCCGGGCGTGGTAGCACGCGCCTGTAGTTCCGGCTACTTGGAAGGCTGAGGCAGGAGGATCGTCGGAGTCCAGCCGGTCGACGCTGGGGTGGCCGTTAGTGTGCCACTGCACTCCAGCCTGGGTGACAGAGTGAGACTCCAACTCAAAAAAAAAGAAAAAAAGCATATTAAAGAAACTTCACTTGTTTAAAAAAAAACTATAGAAGCAAAAGACAGAGTAAGGAAGCAAATTTGCGGTATTTCCCTCTCCAACTCCACTGACTTTTCATGTCTTTATTTGCCCTAATTTGGTTGTTTACAAAGCTAAGACCACCACACCACCACTAGTCTTGAGAGCCCCATACCTTTGCTGGCCTGGGGATGGACGATTCTTAGGCAAGGTTGGCTTTCTTAAAGGAAGTTAATAATAAAACTAAGAGGGAAGTAGTAACATCATAGAAATTGATGAGTCACCTCATTTTAAGAACTCTGAAGTCTGTGTACAAATGACTGCCTTTGGTATCTCCCCTTATTGTCTCCCCAACTCTTTTCCTTTGTCTTGTTCGGCAAGGGCACCACGGTAAGTGTTAAGACTGATTAGTTCTCCCCTAGAGTAGACTTCATCTATTGTACTGGAAAACAAGCTCAGTCAGTGCAGCCATTGTTGTGAGGATTAAATTAAATGAGTTAATGCCTCTAAAGCATACGGGAGGGTCTGGTACATGATAAGCACAATGTGAGTATTTGTAAAATTTATTTTTTAAAATCTCTCTTCTTGATCACTCCCTGCCAACAATAACAAGTGATGCTTGTCTCTTTCCGCCTAAATGCCAAATTTCCTAGTGAGTCACCCATGAAGTCTCTGTCTCTAATAGTCTAAGGGATGCCTCAGGGTTTCAGCTCATTTTTAACACTGAGATAAATGAAATACTCAGAGCCCAAGAAATGCTAACTGAGCCTTTTCAAACCCACATTATCAACTGATACTTTCTCCGAAGCCAGGTAAGCCTCACAGCAGAGGAGTGACTTTGCAGAAATCTCAAAGTTTAATTTTTTATGACATCGAAGAGACGTTAATCCTATAATGGTAAGACATAACTTACAACAGTAAGGAAGAAGCAAATTTTGTTTAATGGCTTTGTTTTAAATCTATTACCACCAAATATTCCTTTTATTATTTTTTGTCCATTAGAGATCCCATGCTCTTAAATATTTGGTCATCATACTGAATTAACTCATAACTAATGGTGTTTTGTTTTATGAATAAGTATATCACAGAGATTGCAATTAAAAGAAAAATACTTGTCATTGAGAAGGATGCATTTTACTTGGTTGTGCTGTCTGAGTGAGGATGAACAATATAAGTATTTTGCATTTGCTCACAATCTGGGGAAAATAAAAATTCATAATTTCTTCTGTGTATTATGGGGAAAAGGAATTAAGAAATAGCATGTATAATCTCACTGTTATGGTTGCTAAAGGTTCAGACCTCCATATTACAATCACTGATTAAATATAGTGATTGTCTTCAAATGCATAGTCACAGCATCTGAGATTCAGCTAAATAATTTTATTTGATGACTTATGCTTAGACAACTGAATGTTTTTACTTACATAATTGAATGTAGATTGTATAAAAGTCAGATATTGACATGATTTGTAAAATGTTACATATATACATCCCAAAATGTTGTGGTATAGATATTTCTCTTCAATAAAAATTTCCATTATAAATATGGTAAGAGTTCTGCTAAGACAGATATTGGTCTTTTTTAATTTAGGTTATATAAAAAGAGATTTTAAAATAATAAGTCTTACATTTGAGAGCAAACATGATCACGTGAAAGCCAGAATCCAGTAATCTCAAATATAGGAAATAATACAGCGCATTATGATAATTCTGTATCGTCATTAAAATTGTAAAAGAAACCCACCATAGTGTTAATAATTCCTACCTCAGCATTTGACCCAGATTTCAGAGACTAGTCTCAAAGTGCCGTAACTCTTTCATCTTAGATCCAAGATTATTCTTTCACATCATGTGAATACCCTATAGCATTTCCAAGTATTCCAGCCACTTTGATATCATTTTCACAACATCCCTCTGGGTTTGGTACGGCAAGTATTATTATGTCATTTTGAGATGAGGCAACTAAAGTTCAGTGAGGTACAATAACTGGCCCGAGGTCATATAGAATAAAGGTAGCAGAGCTAGGAAGAGAGTCGAGATGTTATCAGCTACTGTAGTGCCCTTTCTACAAACTGCACCCCCACCCAGATTTCACACAGATTTCTTTGCCTGTCGGGGTAAATGTTTTATTCAGTGTATTTTTTTTTCATTTTTCTAGAAATAAATATATGCAATCCATCTTTCAAAAGTTCTTTACCTATTTTGCCTTAGATATCTGTCAAGAAACAGATGTCTAAATTTCACTCCTGAGAGGGAAAAAGTGGTACATAA